TGCAGTATTATTAGTAGCATTATCAAAACCAAATGAAAACACTTTGTCAGACAAGTTGTATTCCCGCAGAATACTCTGAAGCAATAGGAAAATATTTTCAGCAGTATGCTGTTCATTGAAATCACGAAATGCAAGAACACGTTTATGCATAATCCAATCACTATCTATCCAATGACAAGTAACACCCATATAAGACAAATTATGATAAGTTTCACTCCAAATATCAGAACAAATAGCAACACGAGAATTAAAATTGAGAAAAAAATTTGCCAAATTTATTTTTCCAGTTTTATACTGACGAATAATTTCTCGTTTAATTGTTTTTCTTGAAAAACCTCGTGCTTGAGGGTTTAATGCCTGTTGACAATAATCAATAAAACCAAGTTTCTCAGAAAACATGTATGGCAAATTTTCTTCACAAATCATTTCGGCTATTTTTTGCTTATTTTGCTCGTTGCTATAAGCAAAAAGGCCGCCCTTACCTCTGTTAGCAAACCGAGAAATTTGGGTTTGCACTTCTTGTCGTCCCTTCTTTTTTGCCTCGTATTTGGCGTACTCGACGGGATGCCTCGACCTTAGGTGTTTTTCCGAACCGCCATAACCGTCGGAAATTCCCATTTTTATGACGGTCCCGCAATGTTTACAAATACCAGAAACGTTGCCATGTTTTGTGTCTTTGTCAAAATGATAAACAAATAAATCTGATTTATGTTTTTTTACCTTTGTCCGGACCTCGAGATGTCTCGGGCTCACCTGCCTCCACGCCGTCGTTGCTCTGAGGTGTAGGCTCCTCGTCCCCGTCCAGATTATCCAGATGTGCTTCATCAATATCTTCGAATACACTATCAAGAGTGGGGACATTTCCGTCCCCTCTACCAGAATAAATCTGCTCGAATTCTTCATCCGTCATAGCGCCCCCGATTATGTGATCGGGGATAGCAGGAAAGGAAGAGACAGAGTGTCTTCCTCGAGAAATGCGTGAGGTCGAACCGTCGGAGGTGGCTTTTGCTTTGCCTCTACTCGAACTTCGGTTCACGGCGCCCATATCCACGGACCTTCTACCGGACTCTCTCGACATTTTAATATATATATTTTTTGATATGATTATATATATTTATATGATTATATATTTATATGAATAATGAATGTATAAATAAAAATTTATTATATATATATGAGTATATATTTATATATTATATAAATTATAATATGTTAATATATATTTATATTATTATATAAATATAAAATGTATAAAAGATAATAAGAATTGAGATATAAGAGAATTAGAGAAGAGTAAGAAGAAATGAGATTATGAGATGAGAATGGTGTGTTATTTGTTTAAAAAAATGGTGTATTTATAGTGTTAGTGTGTGTAGAGCCCCTCCCCCTCCCCTAACCCCCCCAATCCCCCCCCTCCCCTCAACGGCATTATAGCCGTTTGAGGGGACCCCCATGGCTCCACTAACCTTTTTTTTTTGCAGGTCCAGCTTGGGAAAACCGGAAAAAAAGAAAAAAAAAAAATTAAACGGTAAGGTACCGGAACCGGTACCGGTACCGCCGGTTCCGGGACGGAAAAATTGGCACCGGAACCGGTACCGAAAGGGGCGGTACCGGTGCCGGTTCCTGGTACCGCGTGACGAACCGGACGACGGTGACGGTGCTTGGAACCGCCGGTACCGGCGCCGGTAACGGTACCGAACCGGTACCGTGTCCAGCCCTATTTACCATCGGTGCATACACAGAGTGAGAAAGTCCAGGAGATCTTTAAAATCCTAGACTCCTTTCTAAGACTTCCAACTCAACCTATCTAATGAAAATCAGACACATGTAGTCAATAACAATTATTTTACACTTTCCCCGTCCCACAAAAAACTTCCCATTTTGAATAGTATTTAGTCAAATATTTACATGCTTTGACTATAAATTGTGAGAAAGGTATATTGAATTATAAAATAAATTTAATATAATTGGATTTATCTTAGGATCTAGTTTTGATATCTCAAATTTTTTTAGCATTTCTTTATTTAGATTATATTTAATTTATGGTCAAAGCGTGTAACTGTTTGACCAAAAAATACATCAAAATGGGAACTTTTTGGTGGGACGGAGGGAGTATGAAAAATAGTTACCATTTTAAAAATAGTAATTCAAAAAAAACTAAAATATGTTTAGAAAACCAACAAAGGAAGGTACTTAGTAGAAAACCAAAAACATAAAAAAAAACAATAATCCTTCATCTGTCTCAGCTCATATCTTTTTTAAAATTTATTTTACTTTCAACGGCTTTCCATGCAACAACTTAACTACTAATTGTTGTGACACACTTTACAATAAAGTTGAACAAAAGTCGTGTTCGCTTCTGATAAGTCTTGATGAATGCCTAACCGTCATAAATATAAAGAATTTGTTAAACAACTCAAGGCGTATAACAAGACATGGCACAAGGCACAAAAGAATCTAGAAGAAGATCAAGAGTTTTTGAAGACTTAGCTGAGTTTGGTTGAGTCGGTTTATTGTAATAAAAACCCGGCAATCAAATCGAGTATTGGTTCTCAAAAGTAAAAAACATTTCTTACAAAATCATAAGATCATTTTTATCCATCAAACTAATGTTCTTTCCACAACTGTTTTTAAATTGCCAAAAATCTCGGGTCATTGCCCAACCAAAAGCACAACATATAGCTTTCGTCGTTCGTTCCACTATCAGCATTGGTTTTCAACGTCCGAATCAATCAAGTGTCTTTCACTTTATTATCTTTACTTTTTACTTTTGGGCATATTATATTTAAAAGGCTCCCAAATCAATGTTTTCTAAAAACCACTATTGGTTTTTGGGTTTTGGTCAAAAACTATGAAAAATATCTTTCACTTTAATTTGTGATATGTGGTTTTCAACTTAAAGACTTGGTTTTAAAGATTCAACAGTTAGTTTTTACTTTATATAGTACAAATAAGTATTTCCAACAATTGGTTTTTAATTTAGAAAATTTGGTTTTGACATCAGTTTTTAGCATTGGTTTCAGACTTGGTTTTTGGCGCCCTAGCAAACTAATGATTTTGTACCTAGTACATCTGTTATACCCCTGGATGGCTCCACCAAAATCCCAACCCCTCCCAACATATCCAAAAGTCTTTTATCTTTTCTTTGTCCCAAAATAAAGTCTTTGCCATCTATTTTATTCCCTGGTTAATAATAAGAAACCAAAACCTTTTGTTGTTGTTATTTTTTCCTTCTTTTGTAAAACAAATAAAAACCTTTTCTCCCTCCCTTTGAATCCCTGGCCAAAAACCCCATGCTACAACCCTGCCAATACCACTCCCTTACACCTCAACTTGACTAAACAAACAACCATAAAATCCAAGACACCTTGACCCACACCCACACCCTTCAACCCCCATGTTTTTACCCCATATCCAGCCCAGGAAATACCTCCAAATAACCTGCTATCCCACCCCTTTTTCTCCTGCCCAAAACAACCCCACCTAAGCCAATCAATTGTGAATTATATTCACATATTCCCTCCCACCACTAATGGCCAAAAATCCTGCCCTACAAGTACAACCTATCCCTGATTTTTCTCCCCACCAAAGGGACAACAACAAAAGGAGGTCATGCTATTGATTTAGGAGAATAAGATAGGAAGTTTCCTTATGTCTACATTCAATGTATTATGTATTTCTTCCCCCTTCCCCTGCCTATATATAAATCAGGCCCTATGGCCAAATGTAACACACCTTGAATAATAAAGACTCCCTTTCACTCTTTGAGTATTTATAAAATAGTATGATGCTATTTTAGCCAAATTCCTAATTCTATATCTTAAGAGTGGTTATCTTAAGTGTGAGTTTTAGGTTCTAGATATTTGATTAAGTGTGTCATATCTTAATTAAATTCTAGATTCAAACCCCAAGTTAGAATAAGAGTGTGTAATATCTCTTAAATACCAACTTGGTTTATCCATCCCTGATTTTCTTCCATTTCATACCTCCCCATATTCTCTTCCTAAACCTCTTCTTTTTCTTCATAAAAAAACACCAAAAAGAACTCCAAAAACACCTCCCATATTTTGCCCCATATACTTCCGTGTTCATTTCCTCCACAAATTCACACAAAAGTAGCAACTTGATAAGACCCCCGTTTCACCCCTAACAACATCGATGTTTGGCTGGTCTGGCTCAACTCACACTTTGGCATTGGCTTCCAAACTCTGGTTTTTGACTTCCACACTTAGTTTCTGGCCTCCGGGCAAAACGTCGATGTTTCACTTAGAACATCGATGTTTAGCAGGTCTGGCTTACCTTGCTTTTACGCTTACCTTGCTTTTAGGGGGTAGGTTCAAGAATGAAGATGTTTACTTATGAATATCGATGTTCAAAACCTGACCATTGGGGGTCCTTTAGGACAAAATCTTTCCAATTTTAAAAGTCAACACACAAAACATTGATGTTGACATTGTTGTTCTTATGAGAGTTAACCAATTCAAAAGAAAAGTCAAAAGTCAGAACAATGATGTTCACTTTAAAATTCAAGCATATTATCACTAGACCACTTTTGATTAGATTTCTACAAATCATTCCGATCAACCTTACTTTTCTACCAACCATTGCACCTCATTTTTTGGTATAAAAAAGAGCATCTAGCTTAGGGTCTACTTTAACAACAAGTCAAGTTTTTTACTTCATCATCTTAATACTCTTCCATTGATTGATCAAATACATTTTTTTATAGCTTTTAAGAGCCAAATACTTCAAAATATTCTTAAGCGTTCATCAGTATACTCAAAATTTAAATTTAAAATTTAAATTTTCAGTTTTTTAATTTTTAATTTTAAGTTTTCAATTAGACTTGTTTTTGTTAAAACTTAGAAAAGATCAACGTTATTTGATTTTGACCTATACAATTCAAATTCTGGATTTGCAATTCTTTTCAAGTGCTATGAAATTTAAAATATGAAATTGAAAAAATTAAGATTATAATTTAATTTTAATTTTGAATATTTTTGTGCTACCAAAGAGAAAAATTAGAATTAGTTTATCAACCTTAATTTCTTCCATTTCTGAAGACAAACAAGCCCTTACTATGCACACCAGGACCGACCCATTCCTTCTTCCCTTTCTTATTCGCACGAACAGAGACCATCACTTTCTTGCATCGCTGACCGCCTTCAATCTCCTCGCGACTCGACCTCTATCATCATTCATCAGGGAGTTCTTCTTCATCCGCCATCTAATTAGAGGCATGTAAAATCTACGCTTTTTTCATAATTTTAACAATTTATTTGATTTAATTCTTGAACTTCAATTTCTAAATTGTGTGAAGATCCAAGTTGTTTCCCAAAAATTTTCCAATTTCAGTTTCTGGATGTAGTGATTTCTTGAGCAGACCTTTTGAGTTTTGTCCTAGAGGCTTGGACGCACGGCTCTTCATAGTAGTACTTCGTTAGCAAATTGTGAGTATTCAAACTTTGATTTTAGATTAGTTTCAATGCAGTATCCCGAATTCAATTTTTGAAGCTCATATCATCCTTTATACTTCAGGTCTTTAATCATAAACCTATATGTCTTGCCGGCCGAGCCAGCCTAATGTTTTCATATGGGCCCGGCCAGGGCTTCAAATGATAGGTCTGCAATGTGGGACGGGTCGGGTTCGGGCCTAGAAAATTCTAGTAATTTATTGTCTTTGCCCGGCCTGGCCGGAACTTTGATCAATCATGATCAAAAGCCTTTTTTTTTTTTTTTGAGATAAACTTTGATAAAGATCTCTGTGCTCATATACTTGCAGACAAGAAAGAGTAGACCTCATTTAGAGGTGTAAGGACTAAGAAGTGTGTTCTTGGAGGGAAGACTTTTCTGGGAGGCTGACATTTAGATGGGTAGTTCAAAAATGGAGGGGTCATCCATTCCTGCTTTGAGGAGAGACCCATACGAGGTATTGTGTGTTTCAAAGGATTCATCTGATCAGGAAATAAAGACTGCTTATAGGAAACTTGCCCTCAAGTGAGTACCTCATTTTTTCTTCAAAATATATTTTTTGTGGATTATAGTTATATGTATGGGTCTGCAAAGCTTTCTTTAGCATATTTACCAAGCTATTGAAGCTGAAGGCTCCCTATTTTATTTGAGGGATTTTACCGAGTTTATTGCTTTGGGGTATGATGGAATGAAGTAAAATGACCTTTAAACTGTCTGTGCTTCTTTGAATTCTTTGAAAAGTGAAGTAGCAGTTAGTTAATGCAACTTTTGATGCTTATCATGGGTCATCTGGAAACAGCCACTCTATGTTTTAAACATAGGGGGTCTGTACATCAGACCCCTTTACCTCACAATGGGCGAAAGCCTTTGAGGCACTGCAGTAATGTTGTTGTTGTTACTAAATTTATTGCTGTTAAAGGAAGTTCATACTCTTGAAAGCTAAATTGTCACTTAATGAATTATGGATTTAAGGGTTCAAGTGGAAACTTTACTACATTTGTGCATAGAAATATTTTAATTTGATATAGGTGCTTCTAGTATGCTAAGTTGTTTCGTGAAGCCAAACTTATTGAAAATGTAGGAATCAATGTTTGAAATGGCTTAGGGAAGATCTGAGGTATTTTGTCGTTAGTGCATAAGGTGTAAGTCTCAAGGCATTACCAGGCATAAATTTGAGTCCTTTCAGATTAACATGCCAAAATATAAGCCAGATTTGAAGAAACAATATTAAGCATTTAGACTCTTAAAATAATAGCATAGTTGTTGAAGGCGCGATGTACCCTGATGCACATGGGGGTTCCGGAGGCTCGATGCATGTTGTGCTACTGATGCGGGTGCATGACAAACATGAAGCGCAAATCAGGGACAAGTAGCATAGCAACTCTAAACTAGCAACAAACATACATTATTTTTAAAAAGAATAAACTTTTAGAAAGCAACCAAGAATCAAAGTCACACACAGTACCATTAAAGAAATGATCAAAGAACAAAAGCAACAACAAAGAACGAGTTGTGGAACGTAAAACAGCGAGAGAACTAGAGAAGCGTCAAAGGATGTGTAATTGCAAAACTCAAAACTGAAACAAAAAATCATAATAAAACACAGAAATTTTACAAAAAGACATTGTCGAGTGTAGGCTTGCTACAACTCTTTCATGAAGATGAAAAAAATTGTTTGAAAAATAAAAATCTACTGAAATAAAAACTTGAAGAAACTAATAACCTGCAAAATTCTTGTGTCCAGGCTCGACAGAAGCTTGCACCCAAGGAAAGTTCAAGTAACCAGTGAAGGTCGAAGAATTGAGAAGAAACAGGGGTTCGAAGGAGGGAGTCGCTGCGACTCTTAAGGTTATAGGGCACAAAGAAAATAGAGGCATAAGAGTCATGTTAAAAAGTTGGAGCACAACCCTAAATTACACCAATCTTTTTAAAAAGTTGCAAGTGGTTCGTGATGCGTGCATTATAGCGCATTAACTTGCATCACATTATGCGACGATGCACAGTTATGTGATGCCTTAGGAACATCGGTCGCATCACAGATTGTGATGCACAACCTTTACTCCCCTAGCACCTCGCAAGCGCACCGCACACACGGTTTTCACAACTATGAACGATACTATAAGAAAGCATTTATTAAACTTAAAGAGATTTACTTGAATCCAGAACTATCAAGATGCTCTCTGGAGAAAACCCTAGCGAGAATTCAAATGAACATGGTGGGAATAGGAGGAAATTGAAGGTCTGAGAGGAGACTCAGAACGTCTGATGGTGGGAATGCAGAGCCAGTGAATGAGAGATCTTTTAAAAGCGCGCTTCTTGGAGCTGGACATGTGGCTGAGGAAATGGTGGTTGGTCTGGTTTGAGAGAATGCAGGGGCAATGAACTCTGATATGGATTTGTGCATGGAATGAGGATGAAGAGGACAAGTCGTTCTCAACATTCTGTTTGTCGCACTGCATAAAACATAGAGGAGATCTTTGATGGTAAGGACCTGTTTTGTTGGAAGGGAGGGGAGGGAAACTGAGCCCCTCCCTTTGTTTAGTTAAAAAGAATGGAGGAGAGGGAAGGGAATCCAATGTTATAGATTCAGTTCCTTCCCTCCCCAATCAGTCCCTCCAAATTTTCACTTTCCTCTTCTCTTCCGTTCTTCTTCTTCCTCTTCTTTTGTTTTGCTTGTCTCCCTTTATCGTGTCTTCCTTGGCGTCAACTCATCTTCTTCTTCATCTCTCCTCGTCTGCAAACTTTCCCCGTCTGCCTCCCCTTTCTTCATCTTTCTTTTCTCTTTTCCATCGCTCTCCTCGTCTCCCTATGTTTCGTTACTTCTTTGCATCCGTCTCCCTCTCCCATTGTCTTCCGAGGAGCAAGGGATTCAGGGCAAGCTTGTCAAGGTCGAAGATGATATCCTATATAGGAAGAGTCTAGAGCAATATCAACATTATTGTCATCCAAGATCAATATACAAGCTTTGATTGCAATGTTCTATTCCCTCATCCAACAAACAAGGTGAAGCAAATCCCTCCCATTCTCTCCCATCCCTCCCCTCCCCTCCAACCGAACAAGCCCTAATGCTTTTAGGGCAATTAAGGGGTATAATTTTCTGTCCAGGAGGCTAAAGGAGATGTGGAATTGAGTTTCATCTTTGGAGGTTATTGGGATGGATAATGGCTTCTTCCTTGCCAAGTTATCTTGTGAAGGGGATTATCACTATGCTTCTGTGCGTATGGACTTCTTTCTTTCATGCTCTTTTTTTTGCTTATTAATCACCCTCTTTCTTTCCAATTGGTACTATATATGTGCATGGACTGTTTTGATTCAACAACTTCCTTATGGGTTTTTTTGTTAATTTATTTTCTTAAAAGTTGGATATTTTATATACATAAAATTTTAGTTTTTTTTATAAATTTCTTGCCATTAAGTTTATGACCTTCCACCAATATTTTATATTATTCCGTGCTAAACTTTGTTGGATACTTGGATCTAAGACCTTTTACTTTCACAATATACTTTTTGAATGTTTATGGATTAATTGTGTTATTAATAATGTTTTATCTTTTCTCTCAAAAAAAATGTTTTATCTTTAATTTAATAATATTTTATGCACATTTTGGCACTTCAAAATGAGGCTTACGACTCGAGGCTTACGCAATACACCATGAAAAAAATGCCTCAAAACCGCAATACACCATTTCTAACACTACGTTGAAGGATGAGTGATATAATTGAAGAGTGGTAGGGAAATAAATAAAGGAAAGTCTTTATCAGATTATGAAATCAGGATCTAACTCCATAAAATAACAAAGAAGAATGAAGCTCTTTATAAAAATATGAGCAAGAAACTTAAACTCATATAAGTAATAAAGCCAATGAGAATCTCCAATAATAAATATTGAATTATTTTCAGGATAACTTTTATAAATAATGAGCCTCAATATTCATAGAAGCCAATGATTACCAATCCCTAGAATTTAGGCCACTACCACAGTACCACATTAACTAGTAACTATTCCTAGACTTTAGGCTCACTACTACATTACTTAGCAACTACTCCTAGAATTTAGGTCCACTTACACATTATTAACTACTTAGTAACTAACATATACTTCCTCTGTCTCAAAAACTCCTTCCCCTTTCTTTTTTTTCTTGTCCCACAATCTTCCCTTTTCTATTAAAAAATCACTTTTACCCCTACTAATTTTTAGCATACCTATCACATCATACCTTTTTACTAATAATCTACACATCACATCCTACTTTCACCCATCACATTAAGGGTATTTTTGGAAAGTCAACACAAAAATATCCCTCCCTTAAATTTTTCTAAAAGTCAAAATGAGAACATCTTCATGGGACGGAGGAAGTATAAAATAATATGTTTGACCCATTAAACAACTGAACCCAAGTCCCAACTGACTCTATTATTAATATTAATAAAAGACAAAAAACTTCGTATGTGGCACTCTATCATTATTCCTTCCTTCAAAATTTGCCTTGTCTTCAAGGCAAAATCTACACAGTAGCTTCTTGGTATATTAGGAGGTTTTGGTAGATGTGGTTGGAAGACAATATAATGAAAAACTCCAATAAAAGCAGTGGTGCTTCTAACGTAAGTATCAAAATACGGCATAACAGCTTTAAGGATAAATCGATGCATGACACTACTATCCAAGGGTTCTTGAAGACTTATCAGTGATGATGTAGAACTTTCCACAATGGTGTTGAGTGTTGACATGCATATAGGAGTTTTGCAACCCCACTTTGGAGGCATTCTCATCAGCACTTGGCATAAGAATCATAAACGAATTATGTGCAACGTTTAGAGGAAATGGAGAGGCTTTGTTTTTTAAGATGTCTCTGCGGTTTGTGGGGTTAGTACAGAGGATGTGTTCCATTTACCGAGAAATTCTGGTGCAGGGAAAGCATTCTGGGAGTTGGTGAATGCTTCCTGATGTTTTGCCAACATTTTATAAATCGATGGATAAAAGAGGAGCCTTGGCACAACCGTTGAGTTGCCGTGTGATCGTGTGGTCACGTGTGATTCTTGGAAGCAGCCTCTTGCGGAAATGTAGGGTAAGGTCCGCGTACATTACTCCCTCGTGGTGGGACCCTCCTTTCGTATAACGCTGCTCATGGGGACACTTTGTGCACTGGGATACCCTTTTATGAATTCATGGATCATAAAAGTTGGATTCTATCCAATTTGAAAATTCTTTCAGTGCAAGTGGAAGGCATCTCACAGGACATTTTTTGCTACTGCAGTGTGGTACTGTGGTTAATTTGGAAAACAGAAATGACGGTCACTGGTGGTGGTACTTGAACATTGGTCATGTTTTCAATTAAGTACCTAAACTTCATTTTTCTATAAAGAAACCTGAACTTTATGAAATCTTTCAAGAAATAGATTTTAGCAGATTCCAGAGGTGATCTACTCATTCTACTGGTCATTTTGCTTAGGTAGAAGATGAGTTGACTTCTAAGTTAGCACTTAGAACTTGGAAGCCAACTCATATTCCACCTAAAAAGATGACCGGAAGATGACTTGAAACCTACTAAATTAGTTCTCTTGAAAGATTTGGTAAAGTTCATGTATTTTTCTGATAGAAAATGAAGTTTAGGTACTTAATTGAAAAAAAATGTACGAAGTTAAGGTACCATTGATGAAATTTACCCTAGAAATGACCTCTTTTTCAATGGACCTTCTATTGGACCAACACAGCTCAAAGTTAAGGTGCTTGTTCAGGTGGGAGACATCCTTAAAGCATGAACAAATAGAACAGTTGGGGCTCAAGCTCAACCTGTCATGTGGTTTTTATTGCTTAGGAACATCCACCAGCACATTGGGTAGCAATTATTACCGATGGAAGCGTGAGTTCAATAGGGGAAGTGGGTTGTGCTGGAGTTGCTCGTGATGTGTACGGAAATTGGGTTGAAGGTTTCCTTTTGGGTAATTGTAATTCCTTGGAGGCTGAGTTGTAGGGAATTTTGAACTCCATGCGGTTAGCTTGGAGCTGTGGTTAGGAAGTAGTTCATATTCAAACTGATTCTGGAGTTGCTGTCAGGACATCATTAACTTTCTCAGATTAGAAGCTTGATTTAGCATTGCAAGCTACAGTTGGAGCGAGATTGGTAAGTGAGATTAAACTCATTAAAGAATGCTCTTCGCGAGGCAAATTCTATGGCATAGTTTAGCTAAGTCTTCATTGATGCTTACGACAACTACAAAAACATTACCCCATTGTCTCAAAGGCTCCCGCCCATTGCAGGGGGGGGGGTCGGATATACGCATCCTGGCCCCAAGATGAGCGTCGAAATTTGCGCTTCACTATTGAAAGAACCGCAGACAAATTTAAAGAGCCATTTTGCTTTATTCTATCATACCCTAAAGCCAAAAAATAGTGAATCATTGGCTCCATCTTTGGCTCTTCATTGATGCTTCACAGGGACAAATAGTTCCGAGCCCTCATGTTCATGTTTGCTCTTTGCTTTCAGCAGACATTGTGGGGTGGGGGGGGGGTGGCGGTGGGGTCTTTGGCAGAGAATGGCATCCGGAGGGCTTGTACTCTCCTTATTAAAGAACAAAAACGAATGTTACTTGATTCCAACAACTCAAGAAGTTCACAAAACTATCATATGATTCAACCTTGACACAAAAATAAGTAATTCGTGTATTACATCATTACTATGAGAGTTCCAACCACTAGGAAATAATTGGAGAAGAAGCAACCTTAATGTACACAGTAGGATACATATATTTGTATATGTACACAAAAATAAGTGTTCTGTATATTACGTTATTACTATGAGAGTTCCAACCACTAGGAAATAATTGGAGAAGAAGTAATCTTAGTGTACACAGTAGCATACATATATTTGTATATGTACACAATCCCTTTTATAATAATAAGGGGAAAAATTAAATAAATAAATGAATACTATAACTGGAATGATGGTCAAAAGTTAAAATAAAAATTAAGTAATATTTAATACTTAAACAGAGAAGTAAGAAAGCCAAAATTTGAATTAGAAAGCTTTACCAAATTTTAAAAGGAGAAAAGTACACACCTAGCCTGTAGCAAGTGGGAAAGAGTCGAACAATTTGTGTAGAGCAATTGACAAAGTTGCAATTGGATGAGGAAGAAATCCCTAATGCAAGTTGTTGGGGTCTTTTATTTGTTTCGGTTGGGTGGGGTAGGGTAGTATTTATCATCTATTTCAAACAAATAAATGAGTAAATAAATAATTAAAGAATGAAATGCACTTCAAGTTTCCTTATGCTTGCGTACGCCATCGCCGCAATAGTCGTAATTGTGATTCCCTTACGCAATTGCCCCTAGCCTCAAGGCCTACCCTCTCAAAATCTGCCTTGATGCGTGCCTCAAGGCGCAAGGCAGAACACCATTTTAAACATTGGCAGCAAATGAATTTTATGTAAATTCATTGTTACGTTTCATTTTTTGTGGTGGGGGGGGGATTTGTGTTTTCATTTTGGATGTAGTTTATTTTTATCTTGCATTCTTATTTTTTCGCTGTCCTGAAAGAAAAGATGATTATTGATGAAAGCAGCCGTACATCCACACATGTGAGAAATTTATTATCTTCCTCCAATGTCGGCAGGTATCATCCTGACAAGAATGCTAGCAACCCCGAAGCTTCAGAGCATTTCAAGGAGGTTGCATATTCTTATAACATTTTATCTGATCCTGAGAAAAGGAGGCAATATGATATGGCTGGATTTGAGGTACTTTATTTCTTAATTTCTTTTAATGAAGTTAAATCACTTACAATTAGTCAACAACAACAACATTACCCCTCTGCCTCAAAGGCTCCTACCCATTCGGATCTTCCCTTATCTCCTGGCATCTTTTATTTCAGGTCGCATATACAACTAGGCCTTATTGAGATTCTGGTCTTCTTTCCCTAGGTTGTTTTCTCTTGTTCTTCCAAATCATTTTTTCACCCCTTGTTCAAAGGGTGGGTTGATCCAATTGGGAACACCAGGGTACGCGGGTGGTTTCTCATTTCTGCTTGTCCATTGGCTGCCCTTGATGTAGGTTGGTTTGTTCCCAACCGGTCCTTCATGGGTTTTTTTGGTCCTTCATTCACATGGGTTGGTCTTTTCCCGAACCTGTTCTTCATCGGTCCTCTTGGTCCTTCATCCCCATGGGTCGGTCTGACTCCACCCTGTTCTTCACGGGGTCTCTTGGTCCTTTACTACTAGATCCTTATCGTGTGAAAACAGAATCTCTAGAGCCCCCAAATTTTATTTCATTACCTCCTGGTATATGGTCGAGTTGTATTTGGCTGGCGTCATCTTTATACATCCCGAGCGCAATAGTCAGTGTATTAGACAAGGGTGTTTGCCCAACAAGAGGCATCAATGTGTTGAAGTATGGAATAAGAATACGACATTTCATGCATAATCACAATTGCAGTTCAGTCGATACCATAGTAGTATGATTGTATGAATATGAAAATCCATGCACAACCCTGTACTGTTGTTTGATAAATACAATGATGGCAGGACTATGGCACTTCATGTATAACTTTATTCATAGCAAGGTAGTCAAGATCACGATCTGATTCGTGCGATCCTACGATTTTAAAGATCGCCAGTAACTAACCGATCCAACTCGTCTTCAGAATCGCACAAGAGAGAGCGAGAGAGAGAGAGAGAGCGAGAGAGAGAGAGAGAGAGAGAGAGAGAGAGAGAGAGAGAGAGAGAGACTTTAGCAGAAGGTAGTTTGGGTCATCGCCTCTATTTTCAGATTCAACCCTTTATCCAAAACCATTGGCCATCCCTTCAGGAGTTCAGGGATAGTTCCACTCGCCAGGTTATGTACATACGTTGTGCTGTGATTACACTCATTAAAGTAAACCTGCCACGGCCACCTCACTTTTTACTATCCAACATGCCAATACTCGAATTAACGAGTATCCACACGGGTACATCGAACTAGAGTCTTTCTAATAAACATCCTTTAAGTTCATTGCAAAAACTATTGTCTGTCCATCGTGTTGTGATGTGGTTTAAAACTGTGTTTTTAACACGTAATTACGTGCCTGCATAACTAGGACCATGGTTGTTAAAATCGTGATTGGAATCAAAGAATCGTGTGATTCTATGTCTATTGTTCATACGTGCAATCTGAATCACTCTAAGAATCGGAGAGTTCTAGGATTGGGTAGGATCATCGATTTGGATCATGAATCTTCAGATCACGTTAGATCTGATCTAAAATTGGTGCATCATTGATGAAGTTGCAAAAAAAATTGCAACTTCCAAAATCAGAGATATACTACACCTTTACTGTTGCACCTGCATTTTACATTGCTTCTGCCTCTATTTCAAAGTCTGTTTTATTTGGATGCTATGAACATACAACAATTTCTATTTATTTGGATGTTACAATTTTGATTTATCGCTATTTATTTATTTATTTAATTATTTATAATTATGTACATTCTACTCCGTATACATTTCAAACATTAGCTACCACTTCTCTAACATCTTAAGATTCGAGTTACGATCCTCAATTTAAAATCGTCTAGCTAGGATCTCTATTTTAACAACCTTGACCATGACATCCGTCATGTATCACATAGTATCTGTTTAATGTCAGGGGTTAAATCTCGTAACTTATCCATCTTGTATCACATAAAATTAAGAGAGTTGATCCAAGCAAGGTTGTTAAGGCGCCAAGGCGAGGCGCTGACATACCTTCATATCGCCTAGGCGACTAGGCGCACGCCTAGGCGACCTATATTGTATACATAATCTGAGACAAATTATTAAGTGTTCACAAGCATTTAGAAGACCACAAATTAATAACATACTCCCTCTGTCCAAGTTGAAACTTCTCGTTTTGACTTGGCACAGTTTTTAATGTGAAATGAAAAAAGGTTTGACTTTCCAAATTTACCCTTCACCTAAACCTTCTCTCCAGCCCCTTCTACTTCGTTTGGAATTGGGAAAATTTTGAGCCTCCACCTCTGTCGTCTGAATACCTCAATCAGCTCTAGAAAAAATCAGGACTCACCCCACATGAATTCAATCCCCCATAATAACAAAGGTCATCTTTGGAGCAATATGATTTCTTCGACAAAGTATTAATGACTCAAATTTGCAGAAACATCATTTTCATCCCCAGAATCGGCGTAAACTTCATGATTAATACCCGATTTTGACGAAAGTAATCTTTGATGCACATGAGTTAATTGAGGATGGAAGAACTGAAATACCCCATAAAATTTAAGGGTAAGCCATAAAAAATTCAAAAATTAAGTTTCAAATCTAAGAAATTGACGAAATTTAAAATCAAATCTACTTTTCAAATTTAGAAAATTGAAGATATGAAAAATGAAATCTAGGTTTCAAATCTATGAAAATGAAGAATTTAAAAATGAAAGTGAGGTTTCAGATCTAAGAAATTGGAGAAAAAGGAAGAAGGAGAATGAGGAGGGGGTGGGTGGGTGGTCTGACAAAGACGAAGAGGAGGAAGAAATAGGGGGGGGGATTTGATGCAGAAGAATGAAAAAAACAGAAGAGATGGGGGAGAACTGGCGAGAGTAGGAGAAGGAAAGTAGGGATGTGGGTATCTGAGTGAAGAACGAAGAGTTTAGAGAGGATGGAGGAGGAGAGAAACAATCAAATAAGAAAGGGGTAAAAGGGTAATTTTAAGTGTTTTTTATTTCCATTTTAGAAAACGAGAAGAATCAAATGGGACGGTCCAAAAAGGAAAGTGAGAAGAAAGATATGAGACGGAGGGAGTAATTCAAATAAAAGTTCATCTCCATCCTACTAGTTTAATCACCCAAACATGCAAGTTTAAAAATAATCTTTGAACATGTCATTTGTATGGATATCAATATCTATATCCATAAACTCATCATGGACACTAGATAAGTCAACACCATAGTCATCTTCAAGATACTCATCATCATGTAGAATCAAGAGATAAGGTGACGTTAAGTCAAAACATTTTAAAATTTGGGTTTCAAAATTTAAAAACTGCTGAGGACTAGCCGCCTAGGCCCGAGGTGAGGGAAAGGCGACTCCTTAGCGCCTCGAGGGTTTTTGGGTGAGGCGGACGGATAAGGCGTCCATGGCATAGTGCCTTATCACCTAGGCGACGCCTTAAGAACTATGGATCCAAGTTAGTTTTTACTCATCGTCCATTGCCATTCACGTCTGGCAGTGAAGTGACAGCAATGCCGTCAACACTGGTAGGTGTCGTCGGTCACACTATTGCTTGAACGACTCTAAAATCATATAAATGGATGGCAATACAGATTACATGCATATTGTAAAATTCCTTACGGATGATAGTGCCGTCGGTACTGTTGTCAACACTCAGCAGTACCGAACTAGTCTGTACACATGCTATATATTCAAATAGCAGTTTATGCCTTTCTAGCGTCATACTTAAATCCTTTAACATTTACTATTTAGCACTATATATGGATTTGAATAGGATTCTTGAATGTGCGCGCACACGCACACATCCAATGATTCTATCAAGTTTATCAAGAATTTGTGTACATGCATGGACGTATAAATATGTGGCAAAACATTCGTTATAGATCAATCAGGTACTCACTTTTTTAATTATTGGGTCATTTTCATGAACGAGGGAATTGATGAAAAATGCAACAGATCATCAACGAACAGCAACCAGCTGGGCCGTCAGGCACGGGGTAATTTCCGTCCATTGCAACACTGCCGGCGCCGCTGCCGTTTGGGAACTGCTGGCGATGCTGGGAAGTCGCCGTTGCTGTTCTGCTGATCTTGGTGCTGCAATGCCGACGCTGGACTGTTTGTCGCCACAGCTTCTGTGCTTTCACCAACTGCCAGAAAGAAGGGAATGCCACACCTTACACCGGATGCCGTTGCTGCACTTCCCCCGCCAGCGTCGGTTACAGCACATGAAACGAAGTTGGAGTCTGTGCCGCGTCAATTTTTTGTGCGCTTTTCTTTCTTTCTTCCTTGTGTGAACCCGACGACGAAGGGAGTATGCATTTACATTGGACTATAGGATATTATTTTATTTAATTTACTTAACTGTAATTACTCCTTTAATTAATTAACTAACTAACTTAACATCGTGAGACGCCACACAATCACACAGGTATAATGGGGGGTATTTTTGACAGAAATAGTGGGATGGTATGTGCCAACTCCATTAACTCAATGTTCCACAATTAATTCCGTTGCAGTCTATTTCAGCTCCGCTTTAGATTCTGTGTGAGATTCCTCATACTCAGTATAATTTGTCTGGTCAGCCAACGGTCAAACAACTGCAGCTTTATTTAATTATTTTATGTTCCCAGACAAGGACAAATATTACTAATAATAGGTATACTCAGGAAATACAATGGACTATGAAATCTTTTGAAACATACACGTGTTATTTATTAGCTCACATTTTATTTATCCAAGTTCTTAGAAAACTATTAGGCTGGTTTTTGGGGGTGTTGCAAGAAAACTATGTTGTTTATTTTGGGATGGAGGGAGTATAATTTTAGTATCCATAAAAGGAAGAGTGAATCCTTGAAATAGTCCTTTATAACATGAGTTTTCCATATACAGTTCTCATTTCTAAGATATTATTTTCGTGGTCCTAACTGCTTTGCGTCTGCCCTTATATATTAAGGCTCTTGATGCTGATGGGATGGATATGGAAGTCGATCTATCCAACCTTGGTACTGTTAATACAATGTTTGCAGCACTGTTTAGGTAATCTTTTCTCATAGTTCTTATATCTCAAGTGCTCTTGAGATATATTGGTGACACTTTTTATTTGTTAAAGCAAATTAGGTGTTCCTATCAAGACTACTATTTCAGCTAATGTTCTAGAAGAAGCTCTTAATGGTACGGTGACAATTAGGCCTTTGCCGATTGGAACATCATGCAGTGCAAAGGTACTACTGCGTCCTCTTTTTGTTTACTCACTGCACAAGTCTCATTTGTTAATTATTGCTAGTTGCTATCAGTGTTGCAGAAGGGGTTGGGTAACCATCGGATGCTCACGTATAATTGGTTGCCTAGCCCGTTTAAAAGCACTAAATCATGCTCCTAGCCTTTTAGGAATATTTAATTGAGCTCCAAGTGGTCTTTGAAGCAAATCGGGCTAGAGGTATCTAGCGCCTCCAGGACTGATTTTTAAAGAAGTGCTTTCTAAGTAAAGTTTTGAACAGGTAGAAAAGCAAAATGCCCATTTTTTTGGTGTAACAATAAGTGAAGAACAAGCTGCAGCAGGGATTGTGGTTAGAGCAACCTCAGCTGCCCAAAGCAAATTTAAGGTAAATTAATTCACTCACAAATTTGATGGCTAATAGAGCTAATGTATCAGCTTGATTTGTGTGTGGAACTGTGCATGCATATTACCCCGGAGTATGTTACTTGCAGCTTCTGCATTATGACCCTGAAACCGTGTTTGCTATTAATTTCAGCTGCTTTATTTTGAACAAGATGCAAATGGAGGTTATGGGCTGGCCTTACAGGTAATGCATTGCTTTAATTTTTGTTCTGTTTTTACCTTGTACAGAGTAATTCTTTAACACTGCAAGTAATTGTTTCATTCTTAATAGCTTTTACTATTAATGTCTTCGTTCCCCACCATGCCAGTAACAATTTCGTATCAGAAATGCTTTTTTCCACTTTTTTTTAATCTTAGTTGATGCCCTCTCTGTTTTGTTTTCTTCCCTAACATAAAAGGAAGTTCAAAAATCAGGAAAAGAGGGTAGAAAAGGAGTGTTGGGGGTATCTATGAATACTGAATAGCAAACCACAACCAAACAAGAACACACACAAAACAGAAATCAAAACGGAGAAAACGGAACACAAGATTTATAGTGGTTTGGTCGGCTGACCTAATCCACTTTGCAACTAGGGTTTTTGTTATCCAGGTGCTCACAGAATTACAAGTACAGAGATCGCTATTTATGAAGACTAAACTAGGGTTGAAAACTTAATCCCCAAGTTAGGCCCAAGCCCACATAGAGAATTAGGGCCGGCTAAATTAAAAACCCAATTTACTGCCATATGGGTCGAACCAAGACTGGGCCGGCTGCCCTTCTTGGTCGAGCCTCCACACTCAATTCGCCCAACAATCTCCCACTTGGAGGCTCGAACAATGCCCCTTAACCAATTGATGTGAATGGTAACTGAAGCACCCTCCCTCATCCTGGTATTAACCAACTGTCTGATCAAAAACACCTTGTTCAATGCTGAGGGTTTCTCGTACATATTCGACAAAGCTTTCATTAACCCATGTGTAGTCGTTTCATTGACTATGTTGAAAGCAACACTCTTCTCCAATGACAACCTAACCACTCCCAAAGCTTTCCTGTCCAAAATCGCCCAATCTGCATCACTCGTCTTTTCTGGCTTTTCTCCCGATAACGTTTGGTATAAGTCTTTCTGATAAAGAACATCCTCGATTTGCATCTTCCAAAACCCAAAATCACTTCCATCAAACTTTTCAATCTTTATCTTTTCATCTGCCATTGTTTCCATACACGGCTGAAAAACTGATCTGAGATTGAAAAAACCAATAACGAACTAACCTTGGCAGCGGCTATTCGGAACCCTAGCAGTGGCGGCTAAACAAAACCCTAGCAGCAGCGGCGCGGTTACTGTTCACAAGACAGTACAGACCGTATTCTGCAGCGGAAACTATGACGGTGGCGGAACTGATCTTCAAACCCTTCGTAACCCTAATCTTTGATTTGAACCTGATCTCCACGAACGCGATGGAAGACTTCAATGATCACGAACATAAGGCTCTGATACCAATTGTTGGGGGTATCTATGAATACTGAATAGCAAACCACAACCAAACAAGAACACACACAAAACAGAAATCAAAACGGAGAAAACGGAACACAAGATTTATAGTGGTTTGGTCGGCTGACCTAATCCACTTTGCAACTAGGGTTTTTGTTATCCAGGTGCTCACAGAATTACAAGTACAGAGATCGCTATTTATGAAGACTAAACTAGGGTTGAAAACTTAATCCCCAAGTTAGGCCCAAGCCCACATAGAGAATTAGGGCCGGCTAAATTAAAAACCCAATTTACTGCCATATGGGTCGAACCAAGACTAGGGCCGGCTGGCCTTCTTGGTCGAGCCTCCATACTCAATTCGCCCAACAAGGAGTTTCTTTGGGTTCTATATGTTTCAGTTTGGATTTTGGAAAGATATTAGTGCAGCATGTTGAAATATTGAATACAGACCGGAATGAACGTCAGGCATTCGTTTATTTTGCCTCTATGCTACACAATGACTGCTTTGTTGGAATTTCAAAAGAAAAATATTTGCGAGCAGCATTGCACCATGACGGTCACTTACAATTTTCCACAATCATTGCTGCCACCATCAACCACGCATAGAACACTTCCTATGCTATCAGGTCTGCCGGAAAAATTGTAACCAACACCTCAACCCCATGTTCCATGGCTGGATGCAACAATGGCACCATCTTCAATACTACTCCATATTGCAATTGTCACCAGTGATCATGCCGTCGCCACCCTCAAGTTTACTATCCCTACCACTTCCATCGCCCCCGTCTCAACTGCCAAAATCTTGGTCTATGTGTGTGACCCCAAGCAGCCACATCCTAGGCAATTCTCTTTCCTAATCAAAATTTGAAACCTGGGTTGCATCAAAACTTTTAACAATAATCAATACACTGGCTATCCTTGGAGTGTCTTATTTGTTAGTGCAGATATGGTTATTCTTACCCAGTACTTAACACTTTCATAGACAATGGGCTTCTGATGTTTCGAGGAAAGGATTAACTATTGAGTTTTCCCCCTTTCAAGCTTGAGGACAATGAGGGGAGTAATGATACATACATTTAATAATAGTAATAATAATTATATTGATAATAACAACAATAATATTGGTAATAATAATAATATGTATATCAATATGAATATCATATGAATAATTGAATATGAATATTAATATCAATAATAATATCAATATTAATATTAATATTACTCCAGTAGTATTGATATTAATATTAATATTAGTATTAATATTAATATTAATATTAGAGGACAAAATTTGGAAAACACCCTATTACAAAGGACCAGTGATATAATTTACTGCAAAAATAATGCTGATTCTATTTGCTGTTTGAGAAAAAATGAATACCCCCCCTTTTTCTCCCAAATATATAACATGGATCTTTGTAGTAAATAGTTCTTTATGTGGCAAGTTTCAATTAACCCATTATGTGAATTTGATGTCTGCACTTGGTAAGCCTGATGCATTGACAATGAACACAGGAAGACAGTGAAAAAACTGGCAAGGTAACATCAGCCGGAATGTATTTCTTGCATTTTCAAGTTTATAGGATGGATTCAACAGTGAATGCGGTATACATCTTTTTTTAATTCTTTATAGATATTGATTGAAAATGTCTTCGAGGGTTAATGCGTCTCCTAAGCATGATAACAATATGTATCTTTTGTAGTTAGCAATGGCCAAGGATCCAGATGCTGCTTTTTTTAAGAAACTGGAAGGTCTTCAACCTTGTGAAGTCTCAGAACTAAAAGCTGGCACTCACATATTTGCCGTTTATGGTCTGGGCCGCGTCTTTCCTTATTTCTTCCTGCTGTTTACTAGCACTTATTATCTTTCACTGACTACAGGGACAAATTACTTGTTTTGAAAATCAACCTTTTCTGAATGTGCAGGAGATAACTTCTTCAAACCTGCTACATATACAATTGAGGCTCTTTGTGCCAAAACATATGAAGATACAACCAGCAAGCTGAAGGATATTGAATCTCAGATTTTGGGGAAGAGAAACGAGCTTCGACAATTTGAGACAGAATACAGAAAGGCAAACTAGCTCTTGTACATTATGTTCTATGCGTGTTTTGCGAACTTTGTGCTTGCATATTTTAAGAGAACAAATTCTCACTTTCACTTTGCAGGCATTGGCACGGTTTCAAGAAGTGACCAACAGATACACACAGGAGAAACAAGCTGTAAGTTTATCATTTTTGTTCAAACATCCCTCTAATTGAAACTTCCCCCGGGACAATTTATTTCCTAGTAACTGTATACTTCTTACCTAGTAAGAATGCCTACCAAGATAAAGAAGCTATTAACAATTTATTCAGCATTGAGAACCCCAGTAGCAATTTATTTAGCATTGAGAACCCCTGCTTTTTGAAGTCTTGCTTAATTTGCAAACAACCTGCTTCAATTAGTTGTAATTATGCCCAACTCTAGTTTCATATTCTGTTACTCTCTCGGACATCTTTATGATTGTTTGTGGACCTAATGAGTCAGGTGGATGAATTGATGAAACAACGAGACACCATCCATTCATCGTTCACAGTTGCTAGGTCAGTTGTTAGTGTTCCTAGTGGTGGAAGTGGGCATTTCAGTAATGGAAGCAGCAGCAGCAAAACTCTTGGGGACGATCCTAGGGTCGAGTGCCCTGCAGAGGAGGGAACCCCTGAATCCAAGGACAAATCTTCCAAGAAAAAATGGTTCAATCTTAACCTCAAAGGATCTGATAAGAAGGCTACTTGAAAAAAAAACAGCACTGTTTTGCAGTCATTTGGTGTTCACAGATTTGGATCATTTTGCACAGATCAAAGCTGGTGTTGATGCTTTATCTCTGTAGCACTGCCAGTTTGTAATATTTATTCTTTTCATTTTTTCCTATGTACACACACACAAATGTATCCTTGGGGATTGTAGCATAGTCTCAAAGCTGATTTTACTTGCAACTTGTTTTGGTAGGATTTAAATGAAGTCTTCAATTGGATTTCAGTTATGGTTTCCAATTATGTACTCCCTTTATATTTGGAATATTTGGCAACTTACTAAAAACATTTGATTTTTGAAAATGAGTTTTTTGTAAAGGAACTTCAAATGAGTTTCTCTCATTCATACAAACAATACAAGTGCTACCTCTATCACTATCTCATAAGAATTTTCTCACTTTGAATTTGGAGGTGGGGGTGAGGGATGGTGTCGGCCTGCTGCGTCGGTTGCCGGAGTAGTGAGTCAAGGTTGAATAAAAGAAAATAGAAAGAAAAAGGTGAAAAAAGAAAAAGATTAGAGAAAAAGGTGGCAGGGAAATAAGTATGACCTAAAGTCTTGAATTTCGAGACAAAGATTAATATATATTTCTTGACCCATTAATATATTTTTTGATACACTGCATCGATATTATTTTATTTGAAGGGGTTTGTTAAATTTATTGGTCTTGACTCTTGAGGGAAGTTTCTAGTGCAGGGATAAATTTAGGCCTTGTTTGGATGTTGGCTATTTGTATCAGCTATTCTAAATAGATGTTTAATTTACCTGGTTTGACCGGCAGAATATGTTGGTTAATTGTTAAAAAGGTTTGGTAAAATTAGTTGTTTGAAAATAGTTGTTTCGATATATATATATATATATATATATATATATATATATATATATATATTGAAAACGATTTAAAAATTTATTAATCTTTTGATAGAGAAAATTGTCTTTGATTATTTAAAAACTACTGTACTTATCATTTTCCCTTTTACAAATTTCAAAAACAATAGTTTATAGGAATTTTAATACATACATATATATCAATATTAAAATTGAACTTTTTATTTCAAATGAGATACTCCGTATATTATATGGGTAAAACTTAATAAGTATTTATCCCTTATATAACAGAGAGTGACAATGAAATAATCCAATCCAAAGAAGTTAGAAAGAGTTTGAGAAAAAAATAAGTTGATAGAGACTGAGAGAGGTTGAAAGAAAGTAAGAAACGAGATAGTGAAAAAAATTAAAAGTTATTTTTTAAAATAACAAAAAGTAAAAGTTTAATTTGTTACCACAAAAATCAACGCCTAATCATGGGTGTGGAATAAATTACAGTTTACGAACCGGATGCGCTTGTCCCAAAGGGGAATTTGAACGAACCGGTTTGTCAAGCGTCTGTCCGGGAAGCAACGCTCTGTTTTCCTTTCTTCACAATTAGGGATCCCCGGATCAAACCCTAATTGCGCTCCCGGAGAGAACTGCAGGAGGGAATTCCGTGATCGACGCGGAGACTACAAGGAATTGTTGCTGAAACCGGAAGAGACGCCTAGATCTGCTTTTGAAAGGTCAGTTTTTGTCTGTGAATGCGTATATCGTATCGTGCGGATGCTCGGAATCCGACAGTTCTTGCGCTGTTTGATGCGGAACTTAATATGCTTCGTCAATCGTGTTTTTCCTGAGTTTATCTTTGTCACGGCAGTAGATTTGACCGGTTTTGGAAAGTGCAGTTGGAATGTGTTAGACTTGATGTTGGTTTTGTGATTGCATGCTGATCTTTGTACATTTGAATATTACTGGTTGGAATGGAATGGTATTTTTATTTCCAAGTGTTTCATTGAATGTGGAAGCTAGAGTTCAAAAAGTCATGCTTGTGTAATGAGATGCTTACTTGATATGGAAATCAGTAGCCCCAAAGTAAGTGCTGGAAATTCTGAAGCATGATGTATATTAGATGGTCCGTATAAATAATGATGACTTTTAACTTGTTATTGTTAGAGAAAGTTCTGAGTATGCAAAGATTTGAACGCTCTAGTTCGAGGACTGCGAAATTTTATTTTGTTTTGTAAATTAAATAATTATGTAATAATGATTGTTAGAAGAATTTGATTGTTAATGTTTTTATTTGAATAAGGATTGAGCTGTTTTGGGAACATATCTATCTTGATCTTTAAAATGCTTTGTGTGCATATATGTATTTCCTTTTTGAACATCCATACAGTGATCTTGGAGCTGTTTGTTCATGTCCTTTAACTAGGGCCTATCCTTGGAAAACTATGTCGTCTAACCATTTTCTTTCTAGTTTTAGGCACAAACTCTGACAAATGGCATATGACACATCTAGCTTTTGGGGCCCTGTGACATCGACCAAAGAGTGGTGTGAGCCAAATTATGTTTACTCTTCCTATATTGCAGAGTTTTTCAACACCATTTCAAATGTACCATGCATTCTCCTGGCCTTCATTGGTCTTGTTAATGCATTGAGACAAGGGTTTGAGAAAAGGTTCAGTGTCCTCCACATATCAAATATGATACTTGCAATAGGGAGCATGCTTTATCATGCCACATTGCAGCAAATGTGAGTGCTCTATATATATTTTTTGCGTTTATCTTGTAAACTTTGGACTAGGTTTTGATTGGATGCCTTTAGTTATAGGAACCACATGTCTTGATTGTAGATGCATGGTGCTTTGTTTTTTTTTGAATTTATTAATAATATTTAGACTCCCCGCTGTTGATTATTGTTCTTTTTATTATACCAAGCTAGCTGAATGCCATTACTCTTTGATAGTGAGCCCTTGTCTTTAATGTTATGGATGTGGCTTTAAGAAATAAATTTAGTGCTGTTAGATTGGTTTTAATACTCTGCAAAAGTTGATATTTGCAGGGAACATTCTAGTCATCATCTAAATTTAGTTTAGTAGTAAACATCAACTTTTCATAGCCATTATGTGTCAAATAGGTTAATTCCTTAATAAGAAATGCACTTATAAGCAAAGGAACTGAAGTTTATTTGCATTTATTTCCTTGCAAGCAAATTAGAAAATGACATTTTTTACTTCATTTGCTATATGTCATGGAGGTGGACTCTTTTTCAGTTCACTTGTGATATAAATAGTGAGTCAGCTTATGTTAAAGTCTCCTTTAATGATTAATTTGATTTTTTTTGTCTCCATAAAGGTGGTTGACAACCATCTTTGGCATGCCAATGTACCAGGCCTGGCATTGTAGTCAATGTACTATTCATGTACATCACACATATAAGCATATAGGAAGTCTTGAAGAATTTAGGAGAACTTCCTCTACCTTCAGATTTTCTCACCCCCTTCCAGCTAGACTACACTTATAACATTGACGTAGAGTCCCCTCACTTGCCTTTTCTTCTTTTGGGTTGCTTTGTTCTCCTTATAATGACTGTTGCTAATCAATTCTTACTACCCACCTCCTATTTGAATCCATGCAAACCATCATTACCCGTTTAACTTTTACACCTCCATCCGGATTGAGTTGTCTAGTTTCAATAAAATCTCATTTTCAAGAAATGAGTTTAAGATTTCAAATAAGTTGTTTAAATAGTTTATAGGTTTGTCATTCGTTCAAGCCAAATTGCTCATACCATGTCTCTAGGATGTTTTAGACAATTCATCATAAATTCTTTATTGAATATGTAAGGTGGACAACTACATTACAAACAAATTAAAACAAGTGAGGCCCTGTTCTTTTGGGTTGGAATTTCGGAATTGGATGTTGGAAGAAACTGGAAGAAGTTGGAAGAAACTAGAAGGAGTTGGAAAAAACTGTAAGAAGTTGGAAAATGTTGGAAGAATTAAAGTGTTAAAAAATCAGTCAATTAAATGATCACCCAAATAAATTTGTAAGAAAACTCTAATATTGGATAAAAAAGAATTTATCCTTGTCCGTGTTTGAGGTAGTATGTTATAAATTTGGATATATAATGCTATTCTATTTTCGTCATATATAAATACTATTTTTAAGTCATTGTTGGAAGAAACTGGAAGGAGTTGGAAAAATGTGGAAGTTAATTATTCCAACCCAAAAGAACAGGGCCTAAGTGGACAACTAAATCACGTGATGCTTAACTCTTTATTCCATTGTCATATCATTTATCATTACTAGTTTTTCTTAATCATAACTAGAGCATCTTCATTATCAGGCAACAACAAGGTGACGAGACACCAATGGTATGGGAAATGCTTCTATATATTTATATCCTCTACTCACCAGACTGGCATTACCGGAGTACAATGCCCATATTTTTGTTCCTCTATGGTGCTGTGTTTGCCGTCGCTCATTCACAGGTTCGGTTTGCAATTGGGTTTAAGGTCCACTACGCATTACTCTGCCTCCTTTGCATCCCCCGTATGTACAAATATTACATTTATACTGAAGACAGATCTGCAAAGCGCCTCGCCAAGTTATACCTGGCCACTCTATTGGTTGGTTGCTTGTGCTGGTTATTCGACCGGGTGCTTTGCAAGGACATTTCAAGGTGGATCCTCAACCCACAGGGACATGCATTGTGGCATGTGCTTATGGGTTTTAACTCCTACTTTGCAAATGCGTTCTTAATGTATTGCCGTGCCCAGCAAAGGGGATGGAATCCAACAGTTAATCACTTGATAGGCTTCTTCCCGTACGTGAAAATTCAAAAGCCAAAGTTGCAATAGTGCTTCATCATCTTCTTCTTCTTTGGGCTAAGCTTCGGTCCGTCTGCTCCCCCTATAGGTGTTGTAAGGAATGTGAGCAATCAGCACGCAGTTGTGATTCTTTGTTCTATTTGCACATTTTTAAAGAGTGTACTGTAAATGAAAATTCTGGCAGTTTCTAATAGCATATTACATTTTTATTTTTATTTATTTTTGTTTCATCTACTGTAGAAGTATCATCCTCCTGGCTGTGAACTAAATCTCAATGCCACAGACTAACCTGCATTTGGAGGTTTTTGTTTTGTTCTGGTTGAATTTTTTTTGGAATTGATGATCTGATTAATGAAGTTATGGTTTAGCTTTAGTCCCATTTGGGGGCCTGATTTACACAGAGTATTATATTTATAAACAGAGTATTTATGCTAGTACTATACCTAAAATAATTCTTACAATGCTTGAATCTTTCACTTGTTTCTACAATCCAATGTATTGATGGAACAAAATTAAAGCAGAATTGTTTTCATAGGCTTATGGGTGTGGATCACACCTTCAAGTTCTCTCAATTCAGTGTTCTGTCAGTTTTTCTTTCCTATCACATTACATTCTCAAAGAGGGTGTTGATCATGTCCAATTTTTTTCCATATATTTAAATCAAAATTACTTAATATAAAAACAATAACTAAATATTTAATTAAAATTACAATGACTTATTTTAAACAAAAATTACAATGACTTAATTAAACAAGCATTTCATTAATTTCGTTTTCTTATTTTTCTAAATTTAATTAACCAATTAAATTAAAAACTACAAAATTAAAATTTTAAATTAAAAACAAAAAAAACGAAGAAGTTAAATATTAAAATTAAAAAGTAAACAACCAAAAAAAGAAGAAGAAGAAGAGAAAAGGAAGATAGAGTTGGAAGATGCAGGAGAAAAGAAGAAGAGAAAGAAAAGAAGAAATTAAAGAAGAAAAAGAACAAGAGAAAAGGACGACCGGAGCAAACAAAAATAAAAAAAAAATGCTCATGAAGGCCGTGATGGGCATCACGGCTACGCGGGAAGAGGGTTTCGTTTCTTCCCATCATGCGTGGGTGCCACATGTGCATTCACGTGCCACCACACCTCATTTTCTGTCCATTTTTTTAAAAAAAATTGCTCTGAGGTACCTTCAATTTTGTGATAAGAACTCGCAGGTCCCATTGTTTTTCAAAATGTACTCTGGGGTACCTTAAAATTTACGAAAAATTGCTACGGGGTGACAATTCGTCACTCGCTCCGTCAATTCCCATTTGCCGTTAACCTTTTCTACTTCTCCACAATCTTTTAGCCTTCTTTCTTCTTTTCTTTTTTTTTCTTCTCCTCCTCCTTCTTCTTCTTCTACACCCTTCAATCCCATCCAGCCCCCGTCCCTTCCCTTTTTTTTTCTTCTTCCATTTTTTTCTTTTCTTCTTCTTCTATTATTATTGTTGTTAATATTATTATTATAATTGTTGCTGTTACATATTACGGAGTATTATTTTATTATTTGTAAGTATTTGTTATTATTATTATCATTATTTATTTATATATTTATTATTTTATTTAAATAGTAGTTTTACTAAGGCCCCATAAAAAACTTGTGTGTGCCCCCATTAACTTTTTTCTAATATTCACTTGCATTAACAAAACTTAAAATATTTTAAAACTTTAATTGAAAATTAGTTTTAGTAATATATTTATGTATAGTTTATAAAATTAATATTATTTATTCACTTGGTTATAAAGTATACGTCGTAATTCATAATAATAATATGAAATTAAACTATTTTTATCATTTAGTATTATCTTCAAAAAAAATCTAGAGGCACTTGCCCGTCTTATTCTCGTTTCAGGTCCTCTCATTTTTGGGATTCACTACTACCCGAATGTCAAAAAAGTTGAGTAGTAAAACTACTAATAATTTTTTAATAATGATAATAATAAGTGTTATTTTAAATAATAAGTACTATTTTTATAAATAATACGGAGTAATTAGTTTTTTTTTTAAAAAATAGAGTAATAAAACTACTAGTTAATTTTTGATGATAATAATAATAAATAAAAACGATATAAGAAAAATAAAATAATAAGAAATAGATAATAATTAATACAAAGTAATAATAAAGTACTGTTATAAGAAGTGCTATTTTTCTAAATAACAATTATTGTTATTTTTTTGAAAAAAAGAGTAGTAAAATTAATAATTAGTTTTTAATAATAATAAATAAAATTAATAATAATAATAATAATAGAATAAGAATCAAATAATAATAAATATGAAGTAATAATAATAGAACTGCTATTTTTCTGAAAAATTAGAATAGTAAAACTACTAATTAATTTTTATATAATAATTATAATAATTAATAACAAATAATAATTATAATAGAAGAAGAAAAAAGAATTCAAAATAAAAAATAGAAGAAGAAAAAAGGTAGGCGATGGATCTCATCCAAAGGCAAGGCAAAGGATAAGGAGGAGGAGAAGGAGAAGAAGAAGAAGAAGAAGAAGAAAGAAGAAGAAAGAAGAAAAAAACAAGAGGAAGAAGATGGCCGCACTATGCTGGAGAAGAAAAGTTAACGGCAAATTGAAATTGACGGAGGGAGTGACGGATTGTCACCTCAAAGTTAGTTTTCGGATATTTTAAGGTACCTTGGAGTACATTTTGAAAAATAATGGGACCTGCGAGTTTTTATATAAAAACTGAGGGTATCCCACAGCAATTTTTTGATTTTTTTGGACTATTTTAATGTATTTGTTCATTTTCTATTTTTAAAAAAGGAAATGAAGTCATATTGATTTATATTTTTACCTAATACTCTAACTCTGTGGCTAAACGTTAAAATTAAAATTTTTTAGAACTACAAGTTTGATTTTTCCAAGGTCTAAGATTTCAGCTTTAGATTTTTTTCTACTTCTATTCTTAATTCACATTATTTTTTATGTCTTTCTTGATTCACTGTTTTCATTAGACTTTTCAATCAATTGGTCTATTCTTGAAAAGCTAGCCGCATAATATAACTCTCTTGACTAGAAAAATAGTCACACTCTACTCATGCATTACAGTGAATATATGCAAGGTGTATTGTAACATATTTTGTATTGTTGTTAGTTTAATGAATAAAAGTCTGTATGACTTTTTGTTATTGTGCAATATAATGATAAAAGTGATGTATTTATATGATAAGACAATGCATTCATAGAATCAACGTAAAGAATAATGCATTATGTTACTGTGCACTCTCAGAGGGTAGTCGAATTGAAATTCATCTATTAGATGGTGAAACTATCCTAACTCAAATATGATGCATTTGAATATTGTAGATAGTGATATTTGAGCAAACTACGATGCATGTAGAATATGCTACGTTGAATGATGCAAATTCTAAAAGATTAAATTGCCTATAAAGATTGTGTATTAGCTCAAATGGTATAGTAGAGCGGTATGTATTACGAATGTGGGTTTAAATCCTGCATAGGTAAATTATTTTTCAAAATTTTATTACATTTGTTATGAATCCAACCCATTCTCAGATGATCTCATCACGTTTAAAGTTACATAAGAGTCATTATATTATTCATTAAATTAGTTCACAAACTAATAGAATAAGATTTAAATTAAATTTAAAGGACAAATTAGTGAATCACACTGCATATGTATGTCATCACAGTGCATTTGCATTCGATTTGTAATTGTGGATATGAGTATATCACAATGAATTCCATTTTATAAAAACCTTGTTTGTAATTTAGAAATTTTTTTCTTTACAGAATTTTATCATAAACATTATGAATATCTTATTTTTGCATTATAAGCTTCAGAAGACTTTCATTTAATGGAATTAATGACTAAAAAACTATTACTTATATCATCCATTTTTACCCGCAGTGATGGCCGGGTGATGTATGTAACAAATGCTAGATAGAAATGAAGTTGATGGATGGATGATGGTGAAAGTTCACCCGACCAAAACCGACTTGTTGACATCCCTAAATGCATCCCATTAGGGATGCTTTATGGATTTCGAGCAATTGTCAGGTTAGTTATATTACTTCTTTCCTGTAAAAATTTTCCTGTTTTGACTTCTAGGAAAGGAAACTGTAGAAATTTGACCAAGGTAAAAACATAACAATTGAAACAAGTAAGACTCAGGAAATGTCAAAATAGATAGAGCTTAAAATGTAGTTCAAATATGTTCGATTAGATTTAAGAAAAATAGAGGCAATTGTGTCCATTTAGCACAAATTAAAATGTTTATGGACAAGTAAGATGTGAAAGTTGAAAAGTTTTACGGAACGGAGGAAGTATATATTACTCTCTCCGTCCAAAAATTATCGTTTCAGTTTCACTATTCGAATACTTCGTTAACTTTTGTTTCTCCTTGTTATCTTCATTTATGTGTAATTTATATTTTATATTTTATGTTTAAACCATATGTTATGACGGGCTTGACGGAGTATATAAAGAAATATGACGTATAGTGATAAAAATGTGTTATGAGACTTGAAAAAAGAGGCCCGAAAAAAGTGATGGGGTAAAGATGTTGATTATTTTTATGTTTTTTTTTTGGCTTGGGACAAGTTTGATTGGAGGCTAATCTCAATTTTTTTTTGTTAATTATGCTTTTTGGATGGTCCGATTGCGAAGGCTAAGCAAAATGTGATGATGTATTCTCCAAAAATCCCATGCAGTACCAATATACCGTGTTATATGCTACATATTTAACTCAAATCGACTGTTAGGAGCGGTATTAAGCTATTCGTATTGTACACTGCATGTGTGGATCTTCATTTTGCGTCAGTTGCTAGCTAGGGGTATTCATACAAGTGCAAAATATATATTAGTGCAAAATATTTTTATCACACTAGCAATTCATACCGGTATGAGCTATCAAAATGTTAGTGTATATCTTTGGTGTAACTTGGGGTGCGCTTCTTGGTGTAATTATAGCGTGATAGTTAGGAGCGCATACACAAAACAAAAAGAATGTATAGTACTGGTATTTCTTTTTGGCAAATAATATTTGATAAACAATTATTCAGAATATATATATATATAGCAAACATTCTTGGCATGAGGCTCGTATAATCAAACCCAAATTACAAAATTGAGTAACAATAATAGTTTTTATATAGTAATTATTTAATTACATTTGCCGCCTGTGCAAATGCATTCAAAAGTTGGATTTAGTGGGTCGCTGCCGGCCTTTTGGAGGCACTGTCCAAATGCTTGTTGATACTGTAGATAACACGTTTTTCTGCAATCAGGTAACAGGCAGTTTTTCGGGTCCACCACACAGATTCCGTTCGTCTTTACCACCCATTTTGCAGCTGATAATAATAGACAAACCATTGTACATTATTAGTCATTGTCCAGTTTAAGTTTTTACAGTCAAATTCAATGAGATTTGATCATCAATGAAATAAATTTTACATTTTTATATTAATAAAATAAAATATAATTCTTTGAAAGTATTTTATAAGATAAATTTAATTGAATCATTTTTGTACTACAGTACTATATAATACGAGTATCATTTCTATTTTATTGACGATCAAAACCCATCTAATTTGACTGAATAAAAACATTGAGACGAAGGGAGTATAGATTACCTGTAAGAGCAATAATAATGAAGATCACGAACATGAAACTATTGTTTGAAAACTTTGCCATTATACTCGTTTAATTTGATGATAATTAGTAGACTCAAATTATTTGCAAATTAAATAAGACGAGAGCTTAATCCTTGATATTTATATTGACCTACCATTAACAAATTTAGTAAATTGGTGGGTGAAAATTTAATTTACACTTAATTATTAAAATGAATTTCTTACCTATTTAAATCCTATTGCTACCAAGCAACGTCACCGAGATTGTTAAAAGGACCAGATTCGTTTGAAAGCTTCATTTGTAGATTTTGGTTAAGGTAGAATGGTAAAGAACTCGATCTCCCAAAATAAAAGTTTACATTGTTGCGGCATGCATGCATTGTATACACAGACGATATTGGCATTGCAAATTATTTTTTTGGTATTAATTATATGCTAACATTATTAGCATTGTAATTCGTATTTTAGAACAACATTGTGCTTTTATTTTAATAATTTCGCTATGTTTTATTCTCACTTTAATCTTTTTCCACAATGATAATATATATGATATGGTACATATAATATAATATATATATATATATATATGTACTCCGTTCCAAAATCTAACACGCTTCCCAGCACACCAAGGAGCAGATAATGAGTGCAGGGTTCTTCTATGCCGGCCGATTTGCTAAGAAATATTGTTGCCAAGGGTACCGTTACGGAAGATCAGTGTAAAGTGGCCAACCACACAAGACCTCTAAAATTTTAGGCCTCATATTTTTAAGTTGATTATTAAGTTTGTACCATAAGTATTCTAAAATAAAAATAGGGTCTAAAATATAAATTTTGGACCGGATTAATTTCATTTTTTCATTTATCAAGGCCGACCCTGCGAAAGATATTGCAGCAACATCGAACAAAATAGGTCCCAGAAGCAGATGGTTCCGGGAGTCCCTTATAATGGTAAGTCTCTAGTAGAGATGAGTTGAAGGACTAAACTTGTCAGACCGGACATGTCTTTTTGAAAGACCGGTATAGGACAAGATCGTTCTAGTCTTTATTAAATAGATCTGGAGAATTTCTTTATTTGTAAAAAAATACTCCCTCCGTCCTCCATTTTTTATTCACTTTTGACTTTTGGAACTGTTCATCTAAGCACTTTGACTCGTCAAATTCTCTCAATGTGTAAGCCTAAATATAGTCATATGCGATCTTGTTTAATTTGTCTTAACATATAGATTATTAATATATAATTTTTATAATTTTTTAATATACAAATTACAAAATAAAATGGATTAAAAAAATGCATTGGATGGTGTGTAAAAATGAAAGTGGGCAAATACTCTGGGACGGATGGAGTATAAATTTTTTAGGGTCGAGTAGCTGGGATTGATCTTAGTCTGGCCCTAACTTTATTCTATAATTTATTTGGTTTTTAAATTTTTACTTTTTAATTTCTTAAAAAACTAAAAAAAATAAATAAATATTACTCCGTAATGTACAACAAGTCAATATCTCCACCTCCGCTAAGACTTGAACCTATGTGAGCTTTTCTATGAATCTTAAAAAGTGTGCTTCTTACGACTCAGACCAAGAGAAAACAGATATTACATTGTAAACGTGTCAACAACACTAAAAAATAAATGATACTTTTTTTATCTTACTTTTGAAATATTACAATTTGTTGATTTATATAAAGTATTTGATGAGTGTGTTCTCACCCAGGACCCGACCTGGGTCGAGGAAAACAAAACCGATATGGTGGTTCACGGGCAGTTGATGACAAAGTAGTCGCAGCAAACCTGACCTGACCGGTCAGGCAGCAAACCACCCGGGTTGGTTAACACCTGTGACATCACTGATCAGGGAGCATGATTTTCAGATCACCAAGGCATTCATATGAGAAACCACCCAAGCGCGCGATTCGAACAAAGTGGCTTACACAATGATAGCTTAACATACTTGGACGATAATGACTTAGATGCAACTGGGCCATGCTATTTCCCTGTGCTTTGTCAGACATTCTCCTCAAACACTAAGTGTCAGTGACAATTGGAGGAAAGAATAGTCATGAGTGTAGGACAAACGCTACGAGACAAAGGTTGTCAAGTCGAGCATCTTATCACGTGGTTGGAACATGGTGAGGCACGGGCACTTGTTGGCATGTCTTCCTAACCTCCGTATAAATACGCTTGTAACCTTTAGTAAAAGGGATCTGAATTCTATTACTCTAGAACATGTTGTGTAATTCCTCCATGTGCTTATACTTAATACTCCCTCCGTTCCCCTAAGATGTTCTCAAAAACTGAAAACCACCAAAAATTCCTCTCAACTTTTTTCCACTTTCAAATGGTATTATGGGAATTACTTTTTACCCACCTCACATAATTTACTCCACCCACTCCACATTATTTATTTCATTCACCCCCATCAACACCATAAAATTAACAATTTTTTGCTTTACTCTTCTAGATAACACCTGTAAGAAAAAGGGCTATTGAGAAGATCTATGGGGGACAGAGGGAGTAACAATTAGACTACAGTTATTCTCATTTACAGTCACTAACAGTCCACCCGGTCAATCTTCATTTTTTTGAGTCCTTTCCGTATCTAAACTCCGTGAACCACCCTAAACCTTGTCTAGAATATTTTGCTCGAGTGTAAATAACACCATCAATATTTGTGCAACATAAATGTATTTTTATGATATAGAAATTAGATTCAAGCAATAAAAACATTTTTTTGTATTATGACATATTTCTAAATTTATAAAAAGAATATGAAGTATTATATTGTAAATTGACAAGATAACTTTATGTGTTTAAAACAACGCGTTAAAGATGAGAAGTATTCATGTAAAAGTTATACTCCCTCTCCCCATTTTGATTATAATTTTTCTCTTCTCGATAATTTTTATTTATTTGCATGAATTCATTAAGTATTTGATAAAATAAAATATTCTTATCATCTCCTGTTCTGTAAAACTTTTGACGTAACTTTTTAGTATGTACTACCTCCGTCCCATTTTAAATTGTCTGTTTGTCTTTTTTCTCCGTCCCAAAATAAGTTGCCTGTTACAGTAATTATTTTAGTAAACTTTTAAGAATAAAATACCTAAACTACCTCTAAAATAAAGCACTCTTCTCCACTTTATCTTATCATTCATCGTCATACCTCCTTAAAAGTACTGACAATTTCAAAAAATTAATTCTATTTTTTCTTTTCCTTAAATATGCCCAAAAGTCAAAACAGGCGATTTAAAACGGGACGGAGGGAGTAATTTTTATTTCTTATCGTATACTGATTTGTAAATAAAATGATTTCAAAAGGTAAAAAAATTTCTTTCCTCATAAACTCCAATTCGTAATTAAATTGGAAACAGGAGTATTTTAATGTTATATTATAAGACTAGTCGTGATTTTAATTCTAGTCTTTTCATAAGAGACCAACAGTTTAGACGCTCATCCAATTTAGAGGACCAAATAAGCGCTAACAAACCTTTCTAAATTCTAATAATGATTCTTGCGATTGGTCTGGAAAAAAGGAAAGACAGGTTTAAAACAAACTGACAAAGGGGGAATGTAATTTATACTCGACTATATTATCTCTGCTTCACACAATTTCTACTAGTTTTATTATGAAACCTTATTATGACTTGAGACTACATAAATCCTCTGTCACTGTACAATCATGTGCATTGAGCAATTACAATTTTAAAATGATTGAACATCCAACAAGATCACTACTATTCATACGTAGAACTAAAGCATATTTGTAATCCAAAAATGCAATTAAAATGTTTTTTCTCATACAATCATATCAATCAAGTAGAGACTATTGGTAAATTAATGCTCAAAAAATCATACCAATCAAATAAATATGATACAGATACACAACGGTGCGTTCTTTGAAATACTTGGGAAACAAAAGGGAAAAGCAAAATGTGTTTTGGTTAACATGGTGAACAGAATCTTTTTGGACAGAAAAACCAAACCCTATCATTGTCACTTTTATACAACATTATGTACCCAGTTCCTGCATGCTCCTACACTCGAAATAATGTCACGCCCGTCCAAAATGATTTTTCCCCGGTCGTGAATAAAAAATCTAACAGATGTATGTCTTTCGCATGTATACCAACTAGTTCACCGACGTTTTTGTTATGAGACGTATCCAAGAAAAAATAGTTTATTGGATTGTAATGGCCAACTGGAGCTTACCGAGTTGGACGAGTCTGGCAGGATTTTTGTATATTGTGACAGTTGCTGTATTGTTAACTGATAATACAACATGTGCAATGCTGTAAAATTCACCCTTTTCAACTGCAAATTGCCATTCCCTAGTGGATATGTTGAACCAATCCTTTCTCAGGTGTTTGGTTGCCTTTACTTCTATGTACTCTTTATCTTCCACTATAAGGTCATAAGGCAGCCCAGTCTCAAAAGTTTCGTTCACCCATTTCACAAATGTTTCGCCAACTTTACCAATGAAATACTTAAAAGCAACGTATTCCCCTAGCCTGCCCGTTAAGAGTGCCTGTTGTCTATCTGATGTGCTAAGCGATAGTTGACCTCTATCACTAAAATTTGGAACTGAAGCCGGACCTTCTGATGTAGTAACAACAGGGAGAGAATCCAAACACATACTAGTACCAGGCATAGTATTGGGGAAGTCTAATGGTTTGACTTCTGAAATTTCAGCACCTGCTATTGAGCCCTCTTCGACGACTCTTTCGAGGTTAATATCAGTTGGAGCATGAGGGTGCTTTTCGGGATGCCTCATGATTTCTGCCACCTCATCCTCCGCCAGTGCTTGCCCACCACTGCCCACCGGTGTTTTAAATGGAGACACGTGGGTGGAAGGAAAACCAGGTGCAGTTTTCCAGTCTACAGGGGGCCAATTAGAATTAATTCCTGGTCTCCTCTTGAATTTTACGGGATTTGGCTCCTCAGTTGTTTCCAATTCGAAGTTCATCATTGGTGCCTCTTCATTTACCATAGAAAATGCACTCTCCGAAAGGGACCAGACAAGTTCTCCCTCTGGGAGTTTTGACATTTTCTGACTGTTTAGAATGAAGAATTCAGTCTGCTCTTCGGTCGTGCCTGATTCTGCCATGGTTGTGATCATGTGAAGAAAATTCGCTAAGTGGAGATCAGGGGTTCCACCACTGAAAAGACGAGAAAGTTCCATAAATACAGAATGTGAATCGAACTCTCGAGAAACATACAATACGGTGTCCTGCAAGTCAGCACAGAAAGCATCAGGGTCTCAGATCTGAAATCTACAAATTTAATATTGTAACTTAACCATCAGACCATGTACACAAGCACCTTCTATAACTCTATAAGCTTTGCTCTAAGTTCCAGAAAATCTAATTGAACAAACATAACAATGGTCTGCAACAGTACATTAAAAAATCTTTTAGCCATTAACACTGCATCAATAAAATATACTTAGTTCTTATGATGTTTCTAGTCATTTTAGCAGACAATTTCCCTCTTAATTATTTGTCCTTGATTGATTAGTTGGCAACTTAACACCACTCTGACTTACTATTGTCCGTTGTCAGTTACTTACAATACTTAGTACTTCAGAAACTGCAGTATTAAATATATATCATGGTTTGAGTACCTTTAGAAGAGAGTTGCACTCGAACCTTTTCTTGGATGGCATCATGTTTCCTTTGATCACATTTCTGTAGAACAACTTCTCTACGACAATTACTTTAAGACTTTTCAGACTTTCAAATCCAGATTGCTTGAGCTGAGAGAATCTTTCGGGCTGATTGTTGTGTATGTAGCGTTGAGCATACGGAAGAGCCCAGTTGATCAGAGAAGCCACAAAAGTAGAATCAGAAACACCATAGTATATTGCTTCACGAGTTACAACCTGCAACGAGTTACAGTACTGCAATTAGATCAGCTTTGTTATATGGAACTGGTCGGCAGAGGGTGCACATGAACACACTGTAAGTGTGGCGGAAATGAAGATGCTTTGATGCATGAGCGGTCATACGCGTATGGATATAATAAGGAATGAAGGTATGAAAGCTAAAGTTGGAGTGGCACCTATTGCAGATAGATATTGGAAACTCATCTTGGGCATTTCCAACATCTTTTCACAACTTAAAAGATCTTCGGCCTTTGATTTTCACAATTTTTGTAGAAGTGTTGAAAAGTGGAAGAGGAGTGGTTAGAAATTGATGAGAAGAGAGAGAGACTTTTTAAGCCACATATTCTATTTCTTAAAAAGTGAATTATTTTGGGAAAGACAGAAAAGGAAAGAAGGAAGATCATTTAGGGACGGATGGAGTATATATTAATCCACTTGTGAGAATACACGGGGCTCGTATGATAAACTATACTAGTATATATTTATGCTTTATGATTCCACTGCAACCTCGCATTGTCCCGGTAACAACTTTGCTCTTAGCTGATACCACAACTGCATTGGTTTCTCAAAAGAATCTGATTAAGCTTGATGATAAGTAGGGAAATTGTGATTGGAGGTTGATTGATGCAATCCATCAAAATTACTTTAAAAGGGCCAATTTTTTCCCAAATCAGCTTAGGTCATGTTTTGGGAACAAATAAGGGGGGACATGAGTTCTTAAATCTTGAAAGAATGATATGGGCTCTAAAACTTGAAATAAAAGTGTTTGAAAATATCTAAAATGGCATGGAACAGGAAACACCACTATTTGAGAAGCATGTATGAAATCAAATGTTGTGTTCAACACTGTTTTAATGTAAATGGATTGTGTTAGTTAAAAATGGCCGAGTACATTAAGAAAATTATATTTTAACTTCTTAATGGAGATTGTTGATCAATGACGGTGGTGGTTGTTTGCCCAACAATGGTGATGGCAGTTGTTGGTGACAGCAGGTAGCTTGGTGGTGCCTGACAGCAGTGATATGATGGGTGGGTGTAGGGGTGTATAAGAATCGAATCGAAGCAAATATATCACTATTCGATTCGTATTCGATTAAAGTGATATGTATTCGAATTCGGATTCGTATATAATTTGAATTTTAAAAAATATTCGTATTCGATTCGATAGATATTTGACATATTTGAATTCGTATTCGAATATTCGAATTTGAAAATATTAGTAATTTTTTTCTTTAAAAAAATTTCTTAAAGACATTAAATTATTATTTTATAATAATGTAAAATGTAGTAAAAATATGTTAGGATATATATAAATTTATTTATAAATTATAATATTCGAATGAATATAGATTTATATGTACACAAAAATTTAATATATTAAAATATGTTAAAACATGTACAAAAATATTTAATATATTATATTATATATATAAATTTATTTATAAATTATAATATTCGAATAATTTGAATAATAAACGAATCGAATCAATTAATATTTGTATTCGAATTCGAAAATAATTCGACTCTAAAATATGATTTGTATTCGGATTCGAATTCGAATATAACGAATACGAATCATCTTTTTTGAATATGAATCACGAATCGAATACATTTGATTTGATTTGTATGCACCCCTAGGTGGGTGGATGTTGTCCGGAAGTGGTTGGCGATTATGGTGATGTGTGTGGCTGGCGACAACAGTGGCGAGTGACGGCTGCAGTGGTGGTGGCCAATGGAAGTGGTGGGCAATCAATAGAGGTGGTGGCTAATAGCTAATGCCAGTGGCAGGTAGTTGTTGGCAAAGAGGGCGATGGTGGATGGTTGTTGACTAACTGCGATGCTAGTGTGTAGTAGCGGTAGTGGCAACAGCAAGCGACCACGACGTTGGTCGTTGGCGACTGCAATGATGGGTCATTGACGGCATTGTTGGGGGGTAATGATAGTGGCAAGCCACAGTGGTGGTAATTGTTGGTGGTCGGTGGTGGATGGTTATTGACTAACTGGGGTTGTGGTGGGTGGCGACAATGACAACAGTTGTGGAGCCCAACGACGATGGTGGCTGGCCAGTGGAGGTAGTGGTTGTTGGCTAACAGTGGTGATGGTGGGATAGTAGCCATGTTTATGCTTCACCAAACACACACAAAAAGAGTTAGGATATTGGATATCAAACCCATACCTCGGGAGCTCACCATACAAGCCCTTGGAGAGCTGCACAAGCAGCTGAAGAGAACAGTATGGTTCAGAACCAGAACTAGAACCACTTCTGAAGGGATCTAGAAAAGCGTACAAGTACAACAATGTGCAAAGTGAGGTTAAGCTTACCTCTGAAAGAGCGGGGATGCCAAGCCTTTGCATGAGAATTGACACCTTTGAGTGCAGCAACTCCTTTTCCTCGCTGATAAGTTCCCCAAAGTGCAAGAAGTCAATGTTTTCATGATGCTTGAATTCCTTCTTCAGTATATCATCATCACACCAACAAATAGTGCCAAAAGATGGATTTAGAGATGCCCATTTATCCTGTACAGTGGGGAGCACAGTAAAGTCCTTCTGCCGAAGATTATCTTTCAGGTGTTCAAGATCTTCTGAGCTAAGCAAGCCTGATTTTAGTTCTTCAGACCACTTTACAAACACCTGAAAAAACTGGATAAGAGAAGAATTTAGTTGTGCTGTTAAAGCAGTAAATCATCAACATGTGGCACTTATATTTCCTAGTAAGTTACTTACAGTCTTAGCCGCCTGGCAAGGTAAAGCAACAGCCGACAACTGTAGCAAAACCTGAAGGTAACCACGAAAAGGCGGGAACTCCACCACTCCACACACATTCACAAAAAAATCGTGAAGGCTAGGATACAGACTACATAACATATTAACAACAGGGCGCTGAGCCATATCTGCAGCATGTTCAGAACGGACTGTTTTCATTTGCTCTGTAAAACCGATAGGATCACGCCAAAAGACTTCTTTACTCGATAAAAATACCCCAGACACATCCTCGGACCAAGAACTACACAAGTGTGGGACAAATATGAAAGGACCATCGCACAGATCATTCACGACTCGTAGATCAGAAGTAGATATTCCATCCCATATGAATGTGTAGAACTTAGACATTTGTGATAAGCTGGGAGCAGAAAATAAGACAATAGTTTGAGAAAGGAATAAAAACTTATCCGTCATTAAAAATAAACTCTCCAGTAGATCAGACAGACAAATACTAACAACTAATTGAGTGCTTTTTGTATTTTGTGGGCATTTGAAAAAGTATTGCATACCTGGCTCTCACGGATGATTCAGACCTTGTCCAAACCTTAAGAATAGATAGGGCATCATCAATTGTTACCTGAGTTTTCAAACCGATCACACTCACCAACTTCTTGCTCTTCACCTGCTTCGTGAAAAAAAAAATGTTAAGTACAAACATGTAATGCTATTATAAAAAATTATAAGCAGAAATACGATGTGCAAACAATAATGTATAGTTTTAAGCTAGGAAGTAAAACTAACAGTATATTGGTAACACATGCATCTATCAACCATTCACTATGTCATTAATAACATATTTCAAACTCAAGTAGAAATAGAAAAATACTCTTTTAATATTAAAAAAATATGTGAAGTCATATTTAAATACTACTTAACAAAAATGCTTAAACATCAAATCCGAGATTCAAATTGTTGGTGTTCCACATGTAAAGAAGGATTTCCACTTCACTGACACCTACTATTATCAAAATCAAATGCATATACCTTTGTATACACATTCTGAACAATAGGAATACATTTAAATGCATGGCTATTATAGAAAAGTGGGGAGAGGGGCAAATGACCCCCTTCTCCCTCCCTCTCCCACAATATGCCATTGCGGAAAATCTATTCAGAAGTGGTTTATTCAAATCAAGCTCCCTCTCCAATCAATAGTAAGTGTCCAATATATAGGAGAAAAAGGCAGTAAAACTGTAAAACTCAAGAGGAAACCGCCCATCTTGTAATAAAAATCACGTTAAGATATACAAAGGCATCTGAATTTGGCATGTAAAAAGGTCCATCTTTGCAAAATACGTAGTATTAGAGGTGTAAGCCTCATGCACCATATGAGACGTGCCTCATGCGAAGGTCTAACACGAGAGAGACAAGCTTCTCAGAAACAGATTGAAGCAGAAGCATTGAGAACACTTTTCTATAGCTTCATCTCAAGTTGAGCAGTAACCAGTGAGCACAAAGGTGTAAGCCTCAACAGCCTCAATAAACTACAATTCAAAGGATTTAGTAGAAAACTAAGAATGTAAAAAAATGCAATCACATCCAGTCCAAGAGAAAATAGAGATGCAAAATAATAAAGACGAACAGAAACTAAAAAAAATTAGACCGCAAAAATGGTACTCTCTCCCTCGTAATTTGTTGTGTCCACTTTGGGCACAACAATGAATAAAGTTTTTGCCCCACTTGGGGCAAGACAAAAAGAAAAACTGAGTCAACAAATTGGAACAGAGCGAGTGTGACATCAAGTTGTTAATTGTAATACTAATTGGTTCCACATTTAGCCCAAAAAATTCATTGTGTGATTAGACCATAACAGTAAATGGTTCTTTATGACACAAATTATCTTTCATGAGTAGTGATAAACCAAAGTACAAAGTGCATGACTTAGAATCCGGGTTTGAGAACAAGACTATTCTTCTGCCTTTTTACAGCACATCAATTTATTACGTAGTATTTCTTTTATTTACCTTGCAGTTTATAAAAATAAAATTTAAAGAAAATGGCCACACTTTTTGGAAGCCATGATTTTCGAATAGGTATTTCAGAACCATTTGAGCATTTCTTCAAGAAAAATGACTCTTTAAAATGTGCTTCTTTCAATAGTGAAATAGCAGTAAGTCAACCCAATCATGGGTCATCTGGAAACAGCCGCTCTATGTTTTAACATAGGGGTCAAACGTGATTACTTGTTGTACTCGAGCCGGGGATCTCTTTGAAAACAACCTCTCTACTTTCAAGTAGGGGTAACATTTACCTACACACACCCTCCCGAGACCCTACTCTTGTGGGAATCAACTAGGTTGTTGTTGTGTTGAGAATTTCTTCAAGCCCTAAAATATCTTGAGTTATGAATTTTACAACCCATCCATTGCTAATGGAGCTAAAAGAGCCATCATTGACCATGTTTTAGTTTTAGGCTCATAATCGATTTAAATAAGTCAAAATAAACTTCCCTTGCTTCTTACTCTAAATGAAGTTCTAAGCGATAATTACAACGGTGCATGCTTGATTAGAAACAAGGGTTATTTTTATATTCCCTCCGTCCCTAAATAAACTTCCTCTTTCATTTTTCTTTGACCCTAAATAAACTTTTCTTTTCCTTTAAAAAACCCCTTTTACCCCTTACTTTTTCATACACTACCTATCACATCATACCTCTTTACTAATAATCTACCTATCATATCTTACTTTTACACATCACATCAAGGGTATTTTTGGAAAGACAACACATAAATATCCCTCCTTTAAATCCTCAAAAAGTCAAAAATGAAAGTTTATTTAGGGACGGAGGGAGTATTTTTTATGAAGGCATTTGATTGTTGCATTACTTGATTTATAAACAGAACTTCGGTAACTTTTTTAAGGGTTATTTGATTGTTTTAAATTAGGGTTATTTTTATATTTTTTGTGAAGGCATTTGATGGTTGACACCAGTCAAAGAACTAATAAAGGAGTTAGACAAACTGAAGCTTCTTGGGGTCAGCTTTTTTACAATATTTAGATTTTACTTAAAATAAGGGCTATTTTTATATTTTTTATGAAGGCATTTGATTTTTGCATTACTTCATTTATAAACAAAAAATGAACAAGCAATATTTTGTACGAAATTAGTGGACAACTACTTTTTATTTTACAATAAAAATATAATTACTTGATTCTTAAATTATTTTAATTTAATTATGTGTTTGATGAATGAAGTAATGATCAATAAAAAAAGTGTGTTTTTCTTTTGCTTTATATATATGATGTTTTATAATTAAATAGTCTTGATTATAAGAGAATTATTATATCCTAAACTATGAAAAAAATATTGGGAAAAGGGAGAAAATTATACTTGTATATTCAAAAAATAGTAAAATTAAAAAATATTTTATGATCAATATATAAATTTACATGCAGTTGGATGAAATATAGGTTTTTCAAATTTGTAAACCAAATGAAAGTAGTAAATTAAATCTTTTACGGAGTACTCCGTTGATATATATCCGGGAGCATGCCCGAAGACTCTCCGTAGCCCGCCAAGGGAAAGACAGATCAGGGGAATAAAGCCCAAGTGTGGTGACATTAATTGGGTTGAAACTTCTCCATTTTCCTGTCTTAGAACCCAACCCAACACCATGGTCGTCCTACACCCACCCTAGGCTGAGCCCACACTCTCCATACCTTCCCTAAACATCCAAAATATTTCCTTTTCAAAATAAAGTTTTCCTACTCCTATTTTAGGCCCTGGTCGAAAATAAGAGTATGTAAACCACAACCTTTGTTTGTTGTTATTTTCTTTCTTTTAAACCTTTTAATAAACAAATAAAACCTTCTATCCTTTTCTATAAATCCCAGGCCAAATATCTCTCATTATCCCAACACAACATCAACCAAGATATTCCCCATTCTTGTCCCCTTAATGTTCCCTACTAGGGCTGAATAAACAACCACAAAAAGCCAAGGGACATTTGAGTTGTTGTTGATACACCACCTACTAAATCAGTCACCTCATATGACCAAGAATATAAGGCCAATACACCATCCATCACCCATCTTTGTTTGTCCCCTCTTTTTAGCCAGAATATCAACCACAATCATCAAAGGATTTCATTCATTCTTTGTGATTTTTGCCTCCACAACAGGACAGACAAAGCCAGCTCCAAAGCCAAGACAAAGTCAAACAAAATCAGCCCTTATCAACTCAAGANGGCCATTTGGCCCTTGTAATGATCATCTCTGAATTATTAAAAACTCCTTTTACTCTTTGAGTATTTATAAAATAGTGTGATGCTATTTTAGCCAAATCCCTAATTCTATATCTTAAGAGTGGTTATCTTAAGTGTGAGTTTTAGGTTCTAGATATTTAATTAAGTGTGTCATATCTTAATTAAATTCTAGATTCAAACCCCAAGTTAGGATAAGAGTGTGTAATATCTCTTAAACACCAACTTGGTTTATCCATCCCTGAATTTTCTTCCATTTCATATCCCCCCATTTCTCCTCTTAATCTCATTCTTTTTCTTCATTAAAAAACACCAAAAGAACTCCCCTTTTGCCCCATAATATTTCAGCCACCCCATTTCCCCCTCACCTCCCCATAATTCCTTCTCTAAAATAGCAACGTGATAAGACCCCGGGTCTCGGGTATAACATCCGTAATAACCTATGGCCAAAGATTCAAATAAAAAATTCAAGGTTGGGGTATTTACGAAATTTTATGCAACTAATTTAAGAACAGCTCATCTTGCCAAACACTTTCAGAAACCGTTCAAAGAAATAACAGCTGACTGCCCCCAATAAGTTGTTAGTTAAAGTTGGTTCTTTTGTGCTTGTGATGAGGGCTTCTTCTGAACTCCAGTACTAAACATCAAACAAGTAGAGCAACATAGAAAACTAAACTGTGAAGGTTTACCTTGGGCTTGAGAGTGCAACGGGTACAAGGGTTGTGATCAAGTCATGGGATGATATAATCAAGAAATACTGCTCTTTCAGGAATCTTTGGATACTATTTATATTTTTAGGAAAAGCAGAAAGCCAGGAATAACAAATCAATGTGAAGACAAAAAAAATTAATTAATGACATGATATCTCTTTAAAAGGTAATCATTCAAGTTCCTGAAGATGCCTTGGTGTGGACAAATAAAAGAGCTCACAAAACAATGAGAATTGACAGCCATGGTTAACCCAAGCCCAACGTTAGCAAATTATAAACCAATAATTTAAAATAACAATTAACATACAGGTAGATATCATTACAAAATTTACAAGTTTGAATTTGATATATACATATATACACACAAATGCACACACACCCTCCGTCCCTAAAAGACTTTCTTGTTCACTATTCATATGGTCAATCTTTGATCACTTTCGTTTTCATTTGCCATTTACATTACTCGTTTGATAAAAATAGTCTTGTCACCTCTTGTTTTTTAGATTTTTTAATGTAGTTTGAATTATATATTTTTTATTTTACACCAGTTTTTCATATAAATTAAATTGAAAATATCTTAAATAACTTAATTATATATATATATATATATATATATATATATATATAAGGATTAAAAAATAAACAAACCAACCTTTGGAAGAGCATAGGGTGCAGAGGCACCCAAAACTGATCGCACCGGCTCACAATCAAAGAACAAGTCGCTAGGAAAGTGGAGATTGTCATCCAAGGTCGAACCAATCCATTGAACATTACG